ATGATTCTTTTCCTTGACTTTTATAAAGCATTTGACACACTTGAACACGGATTTCTTTTGCAGACCTTAAAGTTATTTGGTTTTGGTGACTTTTTTGTCAATGCTATTGAAATGCTTTATAGTGAAATTAGTAGCTCTGTTTTAATTAGCTTCAACACCTCTAAAAGATTTTCTATTAACCGCGGTGTGAGACAGGGTTGCCCTATCTCACCCTTTTTATTTATTTTAGTAACAGAATTGCTATCGCTAAATATTATATATGAACGTAACTTAGAAGGTATATCTATTTTTGATAAAGAAATTAAAATCTCCCAGTTAGCCGATGACACTGCCTTATTTTTAAAAGATAAATGTCAGTTGTCCAAGGCTATAAGTATAATTGAAGAATTTTCATGTGCTTCTGGATTGAAATTGAATATGTCCAAATGTGAAATTATGATGATTCATGAAACTAATGATTCCTCATTAAATGGTATTTTAGTAAAAGAGACTGTAAAGTATCTGGGTATTTATTAAACAAAAAATTTTGCCACTAGACAACAGCTTAACTTTTCTGGTAGACTTAAAAAAACTCATAGCATTTTTAATCTTTGGCTACAAAGAGACCTTTCCCTTTATGGGAGGGTTCTTTTGACTAAAGCAGAAGGTTTGTCTCGTTTGGTATACCCTTCACTTTCTCTCTCTGTTAATATCCCTACTGCTAAAGAAGTTAACAAAATATTTTTAAACTTTATTTGGAAAAATAAATCCCATAAACTTAAGAAAACAGTTCTAGCAAATAGTAGAAAAGAGGGTGGACTTGAAGTGATTGACTTTGAGGACATAGTAAACACTTTTAGAATAAATTGGATTAAAAGATGCTTAAAAGACCCCAACTCTATATGGTTTTTATTCCAAACTCTATTTTCACAAAAATTGGAGGTCTTCCTTTTATTTTAAAATGTAATTATCTACCAAATAAATTGCCAATTGCACTGTCAAAATTTCACCAGCAGGTCCTTCTTTCCTGGAAATTGTGTTATTCCCACAATTTCTCACCACATAAATGCTTTTTATGGAACAACTCTGATATTAGAATTAGAAATAAATCTGTTTCTATCTACATGGTTTAACCGAAATATAATTGGAATTTTCTCAATTTTTGATAAGTCCGGCAACTTTTTGTCTTATGAACAATTTATGTCTAATAATAATTTTCCATTACCTTTTAAAGAATTTAATGCTGTGCAAAAAGCAATTCCGTTAGGCCTAATTCAACTTATAAAATCTCATTTAATGTTTAATGAAAATGTTATTAAAGAACCAGAGCTGATTTTAAATGGAATTAGTCTATTTGACAACAAATGTAATAATAAATATATTCGACAAATTTTTCAAAATAAAAAATATAATGTTCCCAAAGGCAAATTTTACTGGGCATCCTTCCTTGACACAACAGACTGGAAAAAAGCCTGGCTATTACCTCATAAGTACTGCATTTCCAATAAAACAAAAGAGGTTCATTTCAAAATTCTTTATAAAATATACCCAGTAAACGGTACTTTGGCAAAGTATTTGGAGATTGACAGTTTATGCACATTTTGTAAGAGTGAAGACGAAACGCTGATTCACATATTTTTTCAATGTGAAAGTACAAAAAACTTTTGGAAAAACTTATATCTCCATATAGGTAACCACATTGCTTCTTCCAGACCCTTTCATCTTCAGGATGTCGTTTGTTATTATGGAGGTGGGGCTGATGTATCAGAGAATTACATTATTGACTTTTTTATTTTGTATGGAAAATATTTTATCCATAAACAAAAATTCTCCTGTTCGCAGCCTTCTTTTTCACATTTTTTAATAGAAATTGATGTTTTTATTAAATCTCTTAGATTAGTTAATAATAAGAAAAGTGATAGATTTTTAGTTCTCTATGATAAATATTTTGGAAACAGCACGGATACATAAGTCCTCCTTTCCTCTTGCTGTATTTGTGTTATGTATATGTTTAATTTTATTTATTTATTTTTTTTCTCCCTTTTGTTTCTTTTTTATTTAATTTTTAAAGTTTATATTGTTTATCCTGATCTGTTATTGTTATTGTGTTCTTTTGTGTAAATTGTTGAATTTTGTATGTTTGTTATTGAGGTCAAAAAAAAAAAAAGAAGCCACAAGTAGGCGTGGCCAACCGTCGCCATTTTGTTCGCGCGTCATCACACCCACGGCGGGATACCAAACAAGGGCAAAGAGGCTGAGAGTGAGCGGAGCTACAGACGCATGCTGCATTTAGCTTAGACCTGGTTCAGACACACTTTACTTTGGGAGAACGCTTAATACTTTTATCACCTGTGACTCGTTTGTATTCTGACCACTTGTGCTTGGTTGTATACTATATCAAAAAAGTGTTTAGACTTTTAAAAACACTGCTGTAACACATTGAGCCACTAAACATTGTTCTTATGACGTTTTTCAACAGGAGGAAAACGCGAATTACTTCCAAACACTTCAGATATAGTCTGTTAGTAAATGTAAGGCTATTGATGAAATCCAGCATAACACTGTATGACACCACGTCAGATGACTGTTCTAGAGCCTACAGCTAATCAATCTGACAGATTCTGAAGTGCATTACAGCTATAAATATAAATATAAACGATAAATGATCTTAAATAAAATAAATACACGTATAGAGATGGTATATAAGTATATAACTTTACTCACATGGGAAACGGAGGCCACGTGAATGGTTTGTGAGCTCAATTAAGTTCACTCAGCATGCCATGCCATCTAATAATTGTAGGAAACAAGTCCAAAAGGCAGTTGACTGTGTAAAGCCACATAAAGCAACACAGAAATACGATAAATATGCCGAGTTCAGTGGCTAATCTGCAGGATTCAGCTGAGGTGACGTGACGGCGACCAACGAGACCTAACTGTCAATCAAGTGGCCACTCCCTTAATTATGCAAACTTAATATAACTTAATATAAAGGAAACAGATGAGTTATAAAAAAAATTCACCCCCTCACAGTTGTCATGAAGGGTAATATTACCTGTATTAACCAAAATCTTTTTTTGTACCAGGCTGTAAACACCTTTTTTTCTGCTGTAAAGTTGGCCATTCTAACAGTGGGCTCAATTGAAATTTGCTCTGTTTTGGAGCCAGGAGCGGCCACGACTAGCGGAATTTTGGATGAATTGCAGTTTTAGTTACTTCCGTATTGGCTTCCAGAGGGAGAGCGGGAGCTTGCCGCTTGCTAATAATACTTTTAATTTGCCAGTAACCTGGGTTAAGCACTTTCGGCGAACTGTATGCAATGCAAAAACTGGCGTGTTTAAGTTATGTTTTCTTTAAGAATCAGCGATCTCCACTGGCTGAGTGATATCTGATATAAAGTGGGTCTCAGATTGTACAAGAAGTAATGCATTAAATTACATTCCCCCCGCCATGTCTTTAAAATATGAGCATTTATTTTACCCCAGTATATTCAATGAAGCTTCTGCGCTAGCCTGCTGATTCTGATGGGCGCGTGCGAGTAAACGACTTTTTGTCTCGATTTACGCTTGAGCCACTAAATGAATGCCAAAGTTTATTTAACTGAATGTATTTTAATGACATTAGAACATCGATGCTGTAAAAGGAACCGTATAAAATGGAAAAAAGTCCACAATAACAGGTCACCGGAAGTTTATCAGTATGGGAAAAACACTAGCTCTGCATAAATGCTTTTGATATGTGAAATTCTAGCGCAAGTACGATCCCGTATATGTAAAGTGTGTGGATTTACATATTTTGATGACAAAAAAGGCTTAAAACCTCAGTGTTTCATATGTAGTGAGGTTCTTTCACAAGAGAGCATGAAACCTAAATTAAAACGACATTTAGAAATCAAGCATCCCAGTTGCAAGGAAAAACCTGTGGACTATTTTCTAAGACAACTTCAATAGCTGAGGGCATCCCAAAAGTGCCAAACATCTTCATGTTCAAAACAAGTACAAGTACATCTTACTGTGCTCACCGTGTAGCAAAGGTCAAGAAAGCCCACTCTATAGCCGAAGAGCAAAAAATTGGTGATTATTATAAAATGGTTATGATTATTTTAATAATTTTATTTCAGTTTGCTGGTTTCTTTTCAGTTTAACCAGATCAGTGTTAATGTTTTATAAACAGTTCAGTTTAGTTAATGGTAACTTAACTTTTCCTTACCCTAACCATTTACTGTTTACAGTATTTGACATTTTAACTTTTTGAAATTTTAATATTTCTATAATTTGATAGGCATACATTTTGTTGAATGACAGCAGTAAAATAATGTTTATTTGTAAGTCTTGGTGATTTTCTTATAATTTATCTGTTACTACTTGTGTATGTTAACAAATAAATACAAATTAATTATAATTCCTAAAATTTTATTATAATTCCTAAAAATTTGGGTCGCGGCTTGATGACCATTTGAAAATGTGGGTCCCATGGCCAAACCAGTTGAGAACCCCATTACGCGAGTCCTGAAATGCTGAGGTTTTTCTTTCCATTCGCCATGCAGTACCAAATTCCATTAAAACATCCTGAATGCAAATATGCTGAATGAGAGTGAACTGCTGAACTGCAGTTAAAGTCTAAAGATTAAAAATGAAACACCCGAAATTGCATAAAACTCTGGAGGAAACACTGGATAGCCTAGTAATGTGACATTAACTGTTTTATACTAAAACTTTCCATCTCCAATGATCCGCAAGGACTACATAAAGTAGTTGGTGATCACAACATATTTAATAGGCTTGCAAATTAGTAGGTGTAGTCAGTTGCTTGCTAGTGTAGCCGTCATGTTATTGTAGACAAATAACTTTTACAACTCATATTTTGTAAGTGAATCTTTATTTTAAAGGAAGCATAATTTATTTGCCGCATTAAAAAAAATATTTTTAATTGTCACTTTAATTTAGTTATCAGGTTATAGTGCTACTGTATATTGTTTGGGTTAATTTAATCCACCTGGTTGATACGTATTTTTCTTTCAGGTCATAATTATGGATCAGTGGACAGATGACGATGCCATGGACACATCTCTATTTAGAGAACATCCTTCAAATTCAGAGGTTTGTGACATTTGAATGCTTAATTCTAGTATTTTTATTTTAGTGGGGCTCAGCTTCCAATGAGCTAGTTGTACAAGATGGCACCAGTGAGCTTCCGAGATGCAACTGTGTGCATGTTAACTTCCAGTTGTATAGAACTATGAAGGAAGAGGTAAAGATTTAGCATTTTCATTAACAAAAAGGAGCATGTTAAAAAAAAAAAAAGTAGTTTATCAGCAACCGGAGAGGACATCCTCACTATATTGTTGCATAGATCAGTGCACTCATTTGCTTTCATTCAATCCTCCCCTTTTAATGCTGAAGTTCAGGCTCAGTGGTTAATCAAAATTCTTTTGGGATCATAATGTTTTTGTAGAGGTCGATTCTCTGCATTGTCATTCATTCATTAATTTTTTTTATTAATCTGGGGTTGCCGCAGCGGAATGAACCCCCAACTTATCTTACACATGTTTTACACAGTGAATGCCCTTCAAGCTGCAACCCATCACTGGGAAACACCCATACACACTCAATCACACACTGCCAACTTAGCTTATTCAATTCATCTATAGCGCATGCCTTTGGACTTGTGGGGGAAACTGAAGCACCTGGAGGAAACCCACGTGAACACGGGGAGAACATGCAAACTCCACACAGAAACGCCAACTAACCCAGTCAAGGCTAAAACCACAGCGACCTTCTTGCTGTGAGGCGATTGTCCTACTCACTGCGCCACAGCATCACCCTTCTCTGCATTGTGTTATAATAATTTTTCTATTATTATTAAAAAGAAGCTCCACACAAACATTCAATTCAATTCAGCTTTTTTTTGTATAGCGCTTTTACAGTGTAGATTGTGTTAAAGCAGCTAAAAGATAAAATAAAAGATCATAGTAAATTGGAACAGTGTAGTTTAGTATTTATTGTTTAAGTTCAGTTCAGTTTAGTGTGGTTTATTGGTCACTATTGAGGGCCTAAACACTGAGCACCAAATACATCGATGGATAACTCTACCGATCCCAAACAATGCAAGCTAGTGGCAACAGTGGAGAGGGAAAAAAATTGGCGAGAGTGAAGAAAAAACCTTAGTTGAGCACCACCATTTTAATTTCTCCACTGGCCAAACGTCTTGTGCAGGGCTGCAGTCTCAGCGACTCGTCTGTCCCGGGAGCGTCACAGGAATTACAGGAGCGTCACAAACAGGGTCATGCTGAGGTGGTGTTATTTCGCTCTTGCATAACACACACATATGGCAATCTCTCAATATCAGCTGAGTCTTTTCTGTCTCTCCTTTCAACAGACATAGCAGTCAAGATCACAAGCTCTCAATATACGCACACACTTTACAATATGAGATGTATAATATCACAGATTGTAAATAGAAATAACAGTAATATAGTAGTAATACAATAAATAATCTTAAAACTTTAAATATATAATTGTTCCCTACAGCATTAGTGTTTCTTAAATATTATTTAACATACCAGCATAACACACGCATAAGGAAAACTCTCTCATTATCAGTTGAGTCTCTTTTTCTTGTTAACCACAATATATGATTGAATACACAGATATTACATTACAAAACACAATGCTGCAATGTACATCCTAATAATAAAATACAATGAGTCTTTAGTGTGTTAACAAAATATATAACTACACTTATGAACATATACATGTACATGTTGTACCGCTTGTGATTCTATCAATTTGTAGTCAGAGATGTCTCTGGGATGGAACATCTTGATCGATGATCCCAATCTCTCTGTGTGGGAAGAGTATAGTTGAAATTAGTGAACTGATGTATTCAGCAATGTAGTAAGGATGTACTCTTCTGTCGCTGATAAACTTCTTTTTAAATGTTTTTTTATTTTATTTTAAACATGCTCATTTTGGCAACGAAAAAGTGAAATCTTCACTTTTTCCTTTATAGTTCTATACAACCGGAAGTGACCACACACACACTTGTGTCTCCGAAGCTCATAGGCGCCGTCTTGTGTAACTAGCCCATATATGTATAATAAATCTGTTAAATACTGGTATACTTACAAGTATATGAAATGTGTACTTGTACAAACCTGTGAAATTGTAAAATATGACAAATATCTTTTTCAACAGGAAAATGTGAAACCAGTAGAAGAAGAGATTAACTTGAAACCTGATGATAATCAAAGTGAGAATTCCTCTCACACCAACATGGGTATGGAATTCTACTAATAAGCACTGTTTTAATTTAGTTTAAGTTAATAAATACTTGATTTTCCAAAAATTATAATTTTTTTTTTACTTTAGATCATGGTGATCCAGATTTGACTGTCACAGTATTTGGATGTTCTGAGGCGGTCCAGTTTGGAAGAGACAACATTCTGCTTGGAGAAGAACAACTCAGTCTTAGTGCAGAATATCCCATAACTGTTCCAGACAAGCAACACGGTGAGTATATATAAATACAGTTGAAGTCAAAATTATTAGCCCCCCTTTGATTTTTTTATTCTTCTTTAATAATTTCCCATATTATGTTTAACAGAGCAAAGAAATTTTCACAGTTTGTCTGATAATATTTTTTCTTCTGGAGAAAGTCTTATTTGTTTTATTTCGGCTAGAATAAAAGCAGTTTTTAGTTTTTAAACACCATTTTACAGACAATATTATTAGCCCCTTTAAGCTATATATTTTTCTCAATAGTCTACAGAACAAACCATCATTACATAATAACTTGCCTAATTACCCTAACCTGCCTAGTTAACCTGATTAACCTAGTTAAGCCTTTAAAAGTCACTTTAAGCTGTATAGAAGTGACTTGAGAAAGATCTAGTCAAATATTATTTACTGTCATCATGGCAAAGATAAAGTAAATCAGTTATTAGAAATTAGTTAATAAAACTATTATGTTTAGAAAAGTGTTGGAAAAATCTTCTCTCCATTAAATAGAAATTGGGGTAAAAAATAAACAGGGCGGCTAATAATTCAGGGCCGCTAATAATTCAGGGGGGCTAATAATTCTGACTTCAACTGTACATATTAATGTTTTCCTGGATAGAATCAGAAATTCTTGATATAATAAATATTGTACTATTGTTTCATGCGATTAAGGTGCAGAAATAGAAACAAGCCTTGGTGAAACAAACATGCTGCCTTTAGGGAGCTTGGAACAAACTGATAAAGGACAGGAACAAAAGGTAACTTCACTCTCATGGATCTTCATTTGAATTTATTTCTGTTTGTGGTTTTACCATATCTACTTTAGGTTATAGGCCATCTGGGGTGAGTAGCCTTCTCATTAGAGCACCTGCCCCCATGGTGGAAATGTTAGTTTGATCCCTGCTTGAAGCGGAAGCCTGGAGAAATAAATTTAAATCTAAATCTAAAATACTGCTCACAGATTATTGGTCACTTCTAAACAACAAAATGATTGCACATGAATCATTTTTACTGATGCTAATTTTTAGAAATGAGGTGGCACAATGGCTCAGTGGTTAGCACTGTCACCTCACAGCAAGAAGGACACTGATTCCAATCCCAGCTGGGCCAGGAGACATTCTTGTATAGAGTTTGAATGTTCATGTGGGTTTCCTCTGGGTGCTCCGGTTTCCCTCACAGCTAAAAATAAAGACACGCGCTATAGGTGAATTGGATAAACTAAATTGACCTTCAAGAGTTCACACTTAGCTGATGATTGATTATAAAGCTAGTTTGGCATGCTGTCCCGGGAGAGAGTCCTGAGCTTATAAGATCCTCGAGCCTGGGGCTCACTCCTGTTTGCAAGGGGAGATGGGAGTTTGAGCTCAGGTAGATCTCAAGAACCCCCTGCTGTAGTGGCTAATGAACAGATAGTAATTGCTATTAAGAAATATATCTATTTACTAGGAGCATGGAGGAAACACTGGATAGCCTAGTAATGTGACATTAACTGTTTTATACTAAAACTTTCCATCTCCAATGATCCGCAAGGACTACATAAAGTAGCTGGTGATCACAACATATTTAATAGGCTTGCAAATTAGTAGGTGTAGTCAGTTGCTTGCTAGTGTAGCCGTCATGTTATTGTAGACAAATAACTTTTACAACTCATATTTTGTAAGTGAATCTTTATTTTAAAGGAAGCATAATTTATTTGCCGCATTAAAAAAATATTTTTAATTGTCACTTTAATTTAGTTATCAGGTTATAGTGCTACTGTATATTTTTTGGGTTAATTTAATCCACCTGGTTGATACGTATTTTTCTTTCAGCTCATAATTATGGATCAGTGGACAGATGACGATGCCATGGACACATCTCTATTTAGAGAACATCCTTCAAATTCAGAGGTTTGTGACATTTGAATGCTTAATTCTAGTATTTTTATTTTAGTGGGGCTCAGCTTCCAATGAGCTAGTTGTACAAGATGGCACCAGTGAGCTTCCGAGATGCAACTGTGTGCATGTTAACTTCTAGTTGTATAGAACTATGAAGGAAGAGGTAAAGATTTAGCATTTTCATTAACAAAAAGGAGCATGTTAAAAAAAAAAAAAGTAGTTTATCAGCAACCGGAGAGGACATCCTCACTATATTGTTGCATAGATCAGTGCACTCATTTGCTTTCATTCAATCCTCCCCTTTTAATGCTGAAGTTCAGGCTCAGTGGTTAATCAAAATTCTTTTGGGATCATAATGTTTTTGTAGAGGTCGATTCTCTGCATTGTCATTCATTCATTAATTTTTTTTATTAATCTGGGGTTGCCGCAGCGGAATGAACCCCCAACTTATCTTACACATGTTTTACACAGTGAATGCCCTTCAAGCTGCAACCCATCACTGGGAAACACCCATACACACTCAATCACACACTGCCAACTTAGCTTATTCAATTCATCTATAGCGCATGCCTTTGGACTTGTGGGGGAAACTGGAGCACCTGGAGGAAACCCACGTGAACACGGGGAGAACATGCAAACTCCACACAGAAACGCCAACTAACCCAGTCAAGGCTAAAACCACAGCGACCTTCTTGCTGTGAGGCGATTGTCCTACTCACTGCGCCACAGCATCACCCTTCTCTGCATTGTGTTATAATAATTTTTCTATTATTATTAAAAAGAAGCTCCACACAAACATTCAATTCAATTCAGCTTTTTTTTGTATAGCGCTTTTACAGTGTAGATTGTGTTAAAGCAGCTAAAAGATAAAATAAAAGATCATAGTAAATTGAAACAGTGTAGTTTAGTATTTATTGTTTAAGTTCAGTTCAGTTTAGTGTGGTTTATTGGTCACTATTGAGGGCCTAAACACTGAGCACCAAATACATCGATGGATAACTCTACCGATCCCAAACAATGCAAGCTAGTGGCAACAGTGGAGAGGGAAAAAAATTGGCGAGAGTGAAGAAAAAACCTTAGTTGAGCACCACCATTTTAATTTCTCCACTGGCCAAACGTCTTGTGCAGGGCTGCAGTCTCAGCGACTCGTCTGTCCCAGGAGCGTCACAGGAATTACAGGAGCGTCACAAACAGGGTCATGCTGAGGTGGTGTTATTTCGCTCTTGCATAACACACACATATGGCAATCTCTCAATATCAGCTGAGTCTTTTCTGTCTCTCCTTTCAACAGACATAGCAGTCAAGATCACAAGCTCTCAATATACGCACACACTTTACAATATGAGATGTATAATATCACAGATTGTAAATAGAAATAACAGTAATATAGTAGTAATACAATAAATAATCTTAAAACTTTAAATATATAATTGTTCCCTACAGCATTAGTGTTTCTTAAATATTATTTAACATACCAGCATAACACACGCATAAGGAAAACTCTCTCATTATCAGTTGAGTCTCTTTTTCTTGTTAACCACAATATATGATTGAATACACAGATATTACATTACAAAACACAATGCTGCAATGTACATCCTAATAATAAAATACAATGAGTCTTTAGTGTGTTAACAAAATATATAACTACACTTATGAACATATACATGTACATGTTGTACCGCTTGTGATTCTATCAATTTGTAGTCAGAGATGTCTCTGGGATGGAACATCTTGATCGATGATCCCAATCTCTCTGTGTGGGAAGAGTATAGTTGAAATTAGTGAACTGATGTATTCAGCAATGTAGTAAGGATGTACTCTTCTGTCGCTGATAAACTTCTTTTTAAATGTTTTTTATTTTATTTTAAACATGCTCATTTTGGCAACGAAAAAGTGAAATCTTCACTTTTTCCTTTATAGTTCTATACAACCGGAAGTGACCACACACACACTTGTGTCTCCGAAGCTCATAGGCGCCGTCTTGTGTAACTAGCCCATATATGTATAATAAATCTGTTAAATACTGGTATACTTACAAGTATATGAAATGTGTACTTGTACAAACCTGTGAAATTGTAAAATATGACAAATATCTTTTTCAACAGGAAAATGTGAAACCAGTAGAAGAAGAGATTAACTTGAAACCTGATGATAATCAAAGTGAGAATTCCTCTCACACCAACATGGGTATGGAATTCTACTAATAAGCACTGTTTTAATTTAGTTTAAGTTAATAAATACTTGATTTTCCAAAAATTATAATTTTTTTTTACTTTAGATCATGGTGATCCAGATTTGACTGTCACAGTATTTGGATGTTCTGAGGCGGTCCAGTTTGGAAGAGACAACATTCTGCTTGGAGAAGAACAACTCAGTCTTAGTGCAGAATATCCCATAACTGTTCCAGTAGAGAGGAAGATATCAGAACATCAGGTCTCAGTGATCAACATGATTGGCTCACATAATGCTGATCTCAAAACACTCAGTCACTATATTGGTCAACTGAGTGAAAATGAAATACACGCCTTCATATTTGTTGTGCGACTGGGTCAGCTGACAGATACTGATGAAATGGGTATTGAATGGCTACAGAGAACTTTTGGTGACAGAGTTCTTTCATTTGTCATTATTCTCTTCACCTATGAGCAAGAGGAAGAGTGTGACTCTATAATAGATGACCTGAAAAACAACTCTGTTCTGGAGCAGCTGCTGGAGAAATGTGGAAGAAGAAATTACACCTGCAGCAAACTCATGAACAACCAGTCAGAGATCACAGAACTGATGGACAGGATCAAGTATCTGTTTTCTGATAATAACCAACAGTGCTACACCAGAGAGATGTATAGATCTTCTTTAGGAGACAAGCAACACGGTGAGTATATATAAATACAGTTGAAGTCAAAATTATTAGCCCCCCTTTGATTTTTTTATTCTTCTTTAATAATTTCCCATATTATGTTTAACAGAGCAAAGAAATTTTCACAGTATGTCTGATAATATTTTTTCTTCTGGAGAAAGTCTTATTTGTTTTATTTCGGCTAGAATAAAAGCAGTTTTTAGTTTTTAAACACCATTTTACAGACAATATTATTAGCCCCTTTAAGCTATATATTTTTCTCAATAGTCTACAGAACAAACCATCATTACATAACAACTTGCCTAATTACCCTAACCTGCCTAGTTAACCTGATTAACCTAGTTAAGCCTTTAAAAGTCACTTTAAGCTGTATAGAAGTGACTTGAGAAAGATCTAGTCAAATATTATTTACTGTCATCATGGCAAAGATAAAGTAAATCAGTTATTAGAAATTAGTTAATAAAACTATTATGTTTAGAAAAGTGTTGGAAAAATCTTCTCTCCATTAAATAGAAATTGGGGTAAAAAATAAACAGGGCGGCTAATAATTCAGGGCCGCTAATAATTCAGGGGGGCTAATAATTCTGACTTCAACTGTACATATTAATGTTTTCCTGGATAGAATCAGAAATTCTTGATATAATAAATATTGTACTATTGTTTCATGCGATTAAGGTGCAGAAATAGAAACAAGCCTTGGTGAAACAAACATGCTGCCTTTAGGGAGCTTGGAACAAACTGATAAAGGACAGGAACAAAAGGTAACTTCACTCTCATGGATCTTCATTTGAATTTATTTCTGTTTGTGGTTTTACCATATCTACTTTAGGTTATAGGCCATCTGGGGTGAGTAGCCTTCTCATTAGAGCACCTGCCCCCATGGTGGAAATGTTAGTTTGATCCCTGCTTGAAGCGGAAGCCTGGAGAAATAAATTTAAATCTAAATCTAAAATACTGCTCACAGATTATTGGTCACTTCTAAACAACAAAATGATTGCACATGAATCATTTTTACTGATGCTAATTTTTAGAAATGAGGTGGCACAATGGCTCAGTGGTTAGCACTGTCACCTCACAGCAAGAAGGACACTGATTCCAATCCCAGCTGGGCCAGGAGACATTCTTGTATAGAGTTTGAATGTTCATGTGGGTTTCCTCTGGGTGCTCCGGTTTCCCTCACAGCTAAAAATAAAGACACGCGCTATAGGTGAATTGGATAAACTAAATTGACCTTCAAGAGTTCACACTTAGCTGATGATTGATTATAAAGCTAGTTTGGCATGCTGTCCCGGGAGAGAGTCCTGAGCTTATAAGATCCTCGAGCCTGGGGCTCACTCCTGTTTGCAAGGGGAGAGGGGAGTTTGAGCTCAGGTAGATCTCAAGAACCCCCTGCTGTAGTGGCTAATGAACAGATAGTAATTGCTATTAAGAAATATATCTATTTACTAGGAGCATGTCTATGGTGTCGATTTTATATTAGTCAATTAACTTAGCTTGCATGTTTTTTGACGGTGGAAGGAAACTGGGGAACCCAGAGGAAACCCACGTGAGCACGGGGAGAACGTGTAAACTCCACACAGAAACATCAGCTGGCTTGGTAAGGACTAGAACCAGTGGACTTTCTTGCTGTGAGGCAACAGTGCTAACCACTGGGCTACTGTGCCACCCATCTGGGAAAGGAGGAGGAGTAGGGGTGGAAGGAGGGGAACTTAGGGTATTTATAGTGACTTAGCTATTGTCTGATTGGTGAATCATAAATTGAATAATGTGGGGCCGGCTGCAAGCAATCATAAGCACGTGATCCTCTCTAAATTTCATAAATCTAAATCATAAATAAACCACGTAGTGTATGAGTGTGTGTGAATGTGAGAGTGTATGGTGTTTTCCAGTACTGGGGTGCGGCTCATTCCGCTGTGGCGACCACTGATAAATAAGGGAGTAAGCAGAAGGAAAATGAATGAATGATAGAATGAATTTTAAAAACAATATATCACAGTTTAAATGCCAGTGTCACGACACTTAGACAGAGAGGATCCAAATGCAAGAACAGATGTTCAAAACAAAAGAGAGCCACAGACCACAACGAAGACACCAAACGGACAGCGAAGGATACTGGGGAACAACAGACAGGAACAAGGACAAACAATGGACTGATTAATGGCCGTATGAAAAACGGGCTTTAATTTAGAGACATGAAAACGGGATGAATTCTCCTGTACGCTGGAGGAAGTTTAAGGCGGATTGCCACCGGACTAATGATCTTGATGACAGAAAACAGGCCAATGAATTTAGATGCAAGTTTATTACAAATGGTGAGGAAAGGGATGGTTCTAGATGAAAGCCACACTTTTTGACCGACAACATAAACGGGAGGCATACACCGGTGGTGATCGGCTTTAGCCTTGGTGCACAAACCTACTTGAAGGAGGGTCTGTCTGGCCCTGTTCCAAGTAGGTCGACACCTCTGGACAAAGGCGTGGGCAGAGGGGACCGCGACTTCAGATTCCAGACTGGGAAAAGCAGGTGGCTGGTACCCTAAACTACACTCAAATGGAGACAGGCCTGTGGCAGACACTGGTAATGAGTTATGTGCGTACTCAACTCATGAGAGCTGCTGGCTCCAGGAGGATGGATTCTGAGAGACTAAACTTCGTAATATGCGTTCAAGATCTTGGTTGGCTCTCTCCATTTGACTGTTACTCTGAGGGTGGAAACCAGAAGAAAGACTAACAGTCGCCCCCATAGTAAATGACAAAATTCTCTCCAAAATTTAGAGATGAACTGAGACCCCCTGTCAGAAACCACATCTGTTGGGAGGCCATGAATACGAGAGACATGGTCAATGACAGCAGCCGTTGTCTCCCTGGCTGATGGTAATTTGGGCAGAGGAATAAAGTGAGAGGCTTTCGAAAACCGGTCCACTACTGTCAAAATCACCGTATTCCTGTTGGAGGGGGGAGACCTGTAACGAAATCTAGCACAATATGGGACCAGGGTCTCGATGGCACTGACAGTGGTTGAAGAAGCCCGGAGGGGCTGGGGGGGTGTTGAATGGAAGTCTTAGAAACAGCGCAAACTGAGCAAGCCAACACAAAATCCCTTATGTCATGAGCCAAACCTGGCCATCAAAATCTCCCAGGTGATAGCAGAGATAAAAATGCTGCGTGGCATGATGGCTTCAGGAGATGCATGCTCGGAGTGATCAAAAATTCGAGACAGTGCGTCAGGTTTAACATTCTTAGAACCTGGTCGGTATGAGATGAAAAATTTAAACGTCCGAAAAATAAAGCCCACCGCACCTGCCTAGAGTTCAATCTTTTGGCGGATTGGATGGACTCCAGATTTTAATGATTGGTCCAAACGATAAAGGGAACGTTCGAGGTTACAGAAGTAACCCTTCGTTCCCCGAGGAGGGGAACGGAAGTGCCATAGAGTGGATTGATTGAAATCCACGAATGGGAGGATTCGGATCAGAAGCCGCTTGTCTGGAGAGTATTGAACGGGCCAATGAATGAAAATGAATTGGCAGCGTAAGCTTGCGCAGGTGTGCTGCATCGCCAATTATCCCAGCATATAAGCACACCTGAAGCGAGCAAACGCCATCCTTTTAAGCTGAAGAGACTTTCAAACAGCTAAGGGACAGTCATTATGGCGACGGAGTATGGCACTTCCGTTCCCCTCCTCGGGGAACGAAGGGTTACTTCTGTAACCTCGAACGTTCCCCTTCGGTTGGCAGGCAGAGCCCTCACTAATGGAGTCATCGCTACAATCGCTGACGTACCAGCGGTGGGGCAGCACGGAGTGGGTGTGCTGATCCGGGAAGCAAGAGGGTCCCGTGGAAGAGCTGGAGGAGAGAGCAAGTTTCCTCTTCTCCGGATGGCCTGTCTCAGGGACGCTTCGCGGTCCGTTTGCCGGACTTAACGGCGCCCTGGGCAGGGGGGGCTGCCTGCTTTCGAGGTGTACGCCGCGCGCGCTTGGCACTCGTTGGTGGGCGCCCTGGGCGAGGAGCAGCGGAGGTGGATGGCTCGGCAGGCAGAGCGGGCTTACGGCCACGCCGATAGATGACATTGCCCATCGCATCCGACTGCTCTTTCACCGCCTTGAATTCCTGGGTGAATTCACCGACGGTGTCGCCGAACAGGCCAGCCTGGGATATGGGCGAGTCAAGAAAGCGAACTTTGTCAACATCGCGGTTGGGTCGGGTCGGTCGCGGTGCGCAGCTCATGTAATAAGCTTGGGTTAGACCCGCCCTCGTGCAGCTCGGCCAGCGCCTGCGCTTGGTAGATTATTTAGAGCTTTATAGGTGAGAAGTAATATTTTAAATTCAATACGAAACTTAACAGGCAGCCAGTGTAAGGAGGATAAAATTGGGGTGATATGATCATATTTTCTAGACCTGGTCAGAACTCTGGCTGCTGCATTTTGTACTAATTGAAGTTTGTTAATAGAGGATGCTGGGCAGCCAGCAAATAGAGCATTACAGTAATCCAGTCTCGAAGTCATAAAAGCATGGACTAGCTTTTCTGCATCTGAGATGGAGAGCATATTTCGTAATTTAGCGATATTTCTCAGATGAAAGAAGGCAGTTTTTGTGACATGGGATATATGGTTTTCAAAAGTTAGACTGCTGTCTAATATGACACCCAGATCTTTTATAGTAGAGCTAAAGCTAACTTTGTATCCCTCTAATTGTAGATTGAGTTGCGAGATCTGCTGTGTGCAAGATTTAGGCCCAATAAGTAATAATTCTGTTTTGTCGGAGTTTAAGAGAAGAAAATTGTTGGTCATCCAGTCTTTAATGTCTTTGATACACTCAGTTAGTTTAGACAGTTCAGACGTCTCGTCAGGTTTAGTTGAAATATATATTGAGTATCATCTGCATAGCAGTAAAAGCTGATCCCATGTCTTCTAATAATGTCTCCCAGAGGTAGCATGTAAATTGTAAACAGCAAAGGGCCTAAAACTGATCCTTGAGGCACCCCATACTTTACTGGGCTGACTTGTGTAGGCTGTCCATTAATATTCACAAACTGGTAGCGGTCAGTTAAGTATGACTTAAACCATTGTAGAGCCTGTCCCTGGACACCTGTAGACTTTAAGCGATTTATGAGGATATTGTGGTCAATGGTGTCAAATGCCGCACTAAGATCGAGTAAAACTAATAGCGAGACGCACCCTCGGTCAGCAGCTAAGAGTAAATCATTGGTTATTTTCACTAAGGCGATTTCTGTACTGTGATGAGCCCTGAAACCTGACTGAAACACTTCAAAAATATTGTTCGTCTGCAGAAAAGAGCATAATTGAGTGGAAACAACTTTTTCTAGTATTTTAGACATAAATGGAAGATTTGAAATAGGCCTATAGTTAGCTAAGTTGTTGGGGTCTAGTTGCGGTTTCTTAATAATTGGCTTAATAACAGCTAGCTTGTAAGAGTTTGGAACATGGCCTATAGATAAAGAAGAGTTGATAATGTTAAGAAGAGGTTCTCCTATAGCAGGTAGCAGATCTTTCAGTAATTTTGTTGGAATTGAGTCCAGCATACACGTAGCTGGTTTAGAGCTATTTATAATTTTATCTAGCTCTTCCTGTTCTATGATTTTGAAGCAGTGCAGGTTATTATTATGATTCAATGAAATATTTACAGGATTTGGAGTATAAGCCGGTGCAGAAAGTTTGGCATCTCCTATTTTCTGTCTAAAGGCTTCTATTTTATCACTGAAAAAATTCATGAAGTCATCACTACTAATTTGCGGTGGAACAG